TCTCTCTCTCTCTAGAAGGATTTAGTGTGTATATTTTTTTTCTTCAAGAGAGATCAAATGCTCCATTAATGGCTTCTACGCCTAAATCATGTACTATGTACACACCCCCGATATTAATAAAAATCCCCCGTTGGCAAGGTACCGCCAAAAAAGGCCCGTGGTTTCCTCCCGATTTGGGTTTCCACGTAAAAATCCTCGTGTTTATATTTTTAGACTAGTTTATCGTTTTTAGCCGGGCTAAAAATGATATACCGGTCGATAATTTACACCATCATTTTGGCGCCACCCGTGGGACCGTTGAGGTTCCTTCTCTTCTAAATACAAACCTACCCACAAAAACACCACTCAAAATGTCTTCAAGCCAGCAAATCAACGCTACCTCTACTCAGGTGCAAGCCACCACTGAGGGTACCAGCATCCCCATGGCTGCTACCCTGTCGGCCGTTTCTGCTTCAGTTTTACTGTTGGGTCTGGGCTCGGTCCCAACACCGAGCATGGTCAGCCCCTGTCCCTTCCGCTGGACCAAGGGTCACCTTCCCACCAAGCATGACTCAGTTCATGAACGATCTGGCCAACCTGCAGGCCATCCAGGGCTTTGGCCAAGTCATGGCCATGTGTCAACAAAATGGGGGGATGCCTTTTCTCCCTGGTATGTTCCCGTTTGCCCTTCCGGGCGCGGGAATGATGCCCCTTCAAACTCCGATCGCAGTGACACCGTTTCAGACGCCGGTGCCGCAGCCCTCATCTTTCCAGCCGCAGCTGGTCAGCACCATGGCACCTGTCAACTTGACTGGTGCGCTTAATGCTGTAGGGCCGTCCCGTCCCCCGCAAGGTATGAATCCACAAATCACTCCCGATGGTCACTGCGTCTGTGGAAAACAGAGACGACGAGTGGGACATTCCAAGGGCCCACAAGAAAAAGAAGGGAAAAACTATCCGCACAGCAACTTCCCGAAACTCCACCTTCGAAAGGCTGGGGGAAAAGGAAGAAGGCCAGAGAAAGTCGGCCAAGCTGAGGTTGGGGAAAAGTGTTTCCCATGTCAGCGCGTTTGCCCGGTTGGGCGAGGGAAGGGAGGCCGAGCCTGCCCGTACCCAGAGCTCCCAGCCTAACCGGCAGGAGCCTGCAAGGACGAGGGCCTCCCGTCAAGAAGAGGAAGCAGAGAGTCAACCTAGGGTACCGGTGGCTAACCGGTTGACTGTCCTGAATGACCGCGTCCAGCAGATGGAGGCAAAACTGGAGAGGCTGGAGAAGAAGGTTGGAGAGAAGAATGACCGTGAAAAACCCCTCGCGGGGTCCCCGTTCACTACAAGGGTCCATCTGACACCTTTCCCACGAAAGGTCAAGATAGACGCCCCAAGATTCACCGGTAAGGAAGATTCAGAAATACATCTGGATTCTTTCAATCAAAGTGCAACCATGAATGGTTGTACAGACGAAGAAAAAGTGCCTCCTTTTCTTCCAGACTTTGCGAAATCGAGCTACTGAATGGTTCAACAAGCTTTGCCCAGGAAGCATCGACTCATTCAGTGACTTGGCCTCGAAATTCAAGGCCAAGTTCCATGAGAACTGTACTAAGAGGAAGAAATTCACCTATCTTAGTACAGCCGGGCAGGGGGAATCTGAGAACCTCACTCAATTCCTTACCCGGTGGAAGGAGGAGGTAGACAAGGTTGAGGAGATGGACGACAAGACAGTATTGTCCCTCCTCCTGAATGGCTTGCGAGCTGGGGAACTATACAAGGAGTTCTGTCGGAAACCCCCGGCCACGTATCAAGAGGCCTACCACACTGCCTGGGAGTTTGCTGAGGCTGAAACTCAACTTCGGGCGAAGAAGGAAGCTAAGCATGGCTACAAGCCCAAGCTGGTGCAAGTCAAGAAGGAAGAAGCGCCGGGATCCAGCCGGCCAAGGCACCACTATGACCCGGTCGTCCGCGTGGTTAGCAATGAAGAGTGCCAAGAGGTAAGAAAAGCACCGGTCATTCCTCCGGAAAATCCTACCGGTCAAACAGGACGGCAGTGGTTGGGCACCTATTGTTCGTACCACAGGTCAGATTCCCATAACACTTCCGAGTGTAAAAGTGTTAAGGGAGTAATCCGGCAGATGATAGACAGTGGAGAACTGGGCAAAGATTATTTGCAGAAAGCCAAGGAGAAGAACCACCAATGGGTAAGGCCAGCAACCCAGGGAAATGACCGGGACAATGACCGGCGGAGGAATAACCGGCAGAGGGAGCAGCAGCCGGACCCTGATAAGGAACATATTGGGATGATCTTCGGCGGACCTGAAGGCGGAGATTCAGCCGCGCAGTGGAAAAATTGGGTTCGCAGCATTTACATCGGTGAAGTAAGTGCTGAACCGGCTAGGCGTAAGCATACCAGGAGGGAGCCAATAGTTTTCATTGACCGGGATCTCCCTCCTACCGGTGAAGATCACAATGATCCATTGGTCATCACCATGGACATCAATGGGGTGGACATCGCCCGGGTACTTGTTGACACCGGCAGCAGTGTCAACATCCTTTACCTGGAGACCTTCCAGAAACTCAGGTTGTGTCGGACACAACTTGAACCCCTCAAAACCCCTCTCTCAGGATTCACGGGAGACACGGTGGAAGCTGAAGGGTCCATAGTTCTACCGGTCGAACTAGGATCAGGCGAGAAGACCGTATGGAAGAAGATGCGGTTCATCGTTGTGGACATCAAATGCATCCACAATGCAATCCTTGGAAGGCCTGGCATCAACAAAGTCGGGGCGGTGATTTCCATGCCGCACGTGTGCATGAAGTTCCATACTCCAGGCGGTGTGGGTGGAGTGAAGGACGACCAGAGGAACGCGAGAATGTGTGTGGATTACACGGACTTGAACAAGGCGTGTCCGATGGATTCATACCCCGTTCCTAGTCCAGATCAAATGGTGGACGAAACTGCGGGGTGCGAACTCCTAACTTTCATGGATGCCTTCAAGGGCTACCACCAAATTCACATGGCCAAGGAAGATGAAGAAAAAACATCATTCCTCACCCCCGAAGGAACCTACTGCTACCGGGTAATGGCGTTTGGCTTGAAGAATTCGGGGGCAACCTACCAGCGCATGGTGAACACACTCTTCAAGCCGCTGCTGGAAAAGACCATGGAGGCATACGTCGACGACATGCTGATCAAAAGCCAGGTATCTTTCAACCACCCGGCTGATATGCCTGCCACATTTGAAATCATGGCAAGATACAACCTCCGGTTGAATCCTAAGAAATGCGTCTTCGCGGTTCGTACCGGGAAGTTCTTGGGATTCATGGTGACCAAGAGAGGAATAGAGCCCAACCCAGAGAAGATTCGGGCTATCACCGAGATGCAAGCCCCTACCTCCGTTAGGGACATCCAAAAGTTGACCGGTCGCCTAGCGGTCCTCAGCCGGTTCCTTTCCCGGTCGGCTGAGAGATCCCTGCCCTTCTTCAACGTTCTGAAGAAGGCCAACACATTCACATGGGATGAAGAGTTCCAGAGGGCATTCGAGGAGCTAAAAGAATGCCTAGTGTCGGATATTGTATTGTCCAAACCCGAACCGGGTTAAACTCTGTATCTATACGTGGGAATTTCCCCAAATGCTGTAAGCTCTATTTTCATAAAAAATGATGGGGCATAAAAGCCAATTTATTATGTGAGCAAAGCACTTAACGGGGTTGAAAGTAGATATACAGCGATGGAGAAAACAGGCTACGCGCTTTTTATCTCCTCAAAGAAGTTAACATCCTACTTCCAAGCTCACCCGGTGGAAGTCTCGACTGACCAACCACTAGGCGCAGTATTGCGGAACTCAATGTCCTCCGGGAGGATGGTGAAATGGGCAATGATGTTGACTCAATTCAACATTGAGTACCGGCCAAGATCAGCAATCAAGGGACAGGCCCTTGCAGATTTCCTGGTAGAAATGACCGGTATAACTCCTGACCTACCGGTCAACAAGCCCACTGAGCAATGGTGGGAGATGGAAGTTGATGGGGCGTCCGGTCCTAGAGGATACGGGGGTGGTATCGTGTTTACCACCCTAGAAGGGTTCAAGATCTACCATGCAATAGTCTTCAACTTCAAGCTGACGAACAATGAATCAGAGTATGAGGCTCTAGCTGGAGGGCTTAGACTTGCCCAAGCCTTTAAAATCATCCGGGTTAGTATCAAATCTGACTCGAGTTTGATTGTGGGGCAAGTGACCGGCAATATGGAGGCTAGGGAAGGACGAATGGCTCAATACAAGGATGTAGTGCTTGCCTTGTTGAAGGGGTTCGAGGAATTCAAAATCGCCCAAATTCCCCGGGCAGAGAACGCGGATGCATACCTTCTCTCCAAGTTAACGCAGTATGCTCCTGAGCATGTTTCAAAACTTGCCTGGGTAGAAATCCTGGACCGTGCCAGCATCGAGAAATTGGAAGTTGCCGCCATAACAGCAATAGCCCAATCTGACCGGTCAAACTTGGTCAGGGCGGATGACCACTGGATGTACGATCTGATGGAATACTTGATGGACGGGACCTTTCCGGAGCAAGAATACCGGGCAACAAAAGTGAAGCTCAGGGCATCCCGGTTCCAAGTCCTTGATGGAAAGCTGTACAAGAGGGCGTTCGGGGGACCCCTCCTGAGGTGCCTAACCAACTGGGAGGCTGAGCGAGTCATAACGGAATTCCATGAAGGTGTATGCGCGGCACACCAAATGTCGCGAACCCTCTCACAACGAATCATCTTGCTGGGGTATTACTGGCCGACGATTGTCCAGGACTGTGAGTGTAACACCCTAATCTGTCCAGGTCTGCAGCCCCTTTCAGATTAAAGTATTAACTTGGTAATCGTAAAAATTTAAAACATTTCAAACACTTTTATTTATCACAATAATATTTTTCATAATATAAACAGTACGGAGTTTTCAATATTGCGGAAGCTTAACAATCATAATCACAAACATAATTTATTTATGTTCTTTAATTCAAAACCATCACATCCATTCCGACAATCTCGCCTCCGTCTGCCTCCAGGATCACGTCACTTCATTAACCTGCGTTTAGCAAATAAAACATACTACACGCTCAGCGTTGAAGCTGAGTAAGCATATCTAATGCATCGAACATCCATATAAACTGAATCTAAATTCATAATCAAATCATTTGATGTCATGCACATAATGTTCAGTTCAGATAATCAATAATTATTAAAAATTATTCATCATGCATTATTCAACATATATATTTACATTCAATGTTCATCAATCATTCATAATAATTGCAATTTTCAATTCAATATTCATCATTCAATATTTACTCATATTCAATATTCAATATTCAATATTCAACATTCAACAATATC